TGAAGTAGAAGTTGCAAAGAGTCCAAATTGGTTACTTTCCTTGTAAATAAAAAAGTCTTTGCAAATAACTTCATCAGTTGATGCAAGTGATACGCAATATAACTGAGTGAAGAAGCTGTCAAACTTGTTTGCTCTCGAAGGGAGATAATGAGCATCACACTCTTCTCCAAAATATGAAAATGATAGCCATGATGGTCTATAAACAATTAGCTCCTGGTAATTTTTACTAAAGCTGATCAGGTACTGACCATCTTCAGTGAATTTACGGAAAGAATAATCGGGGCAATCAACGTCATATATGGTATAACTTGGCACAATATTCTCATAAAGCTGCCTAGCACGATGAATCTGGATAAATAAAGTTACAGTTAGTTTCAAAAAACAAAAATCGAAATGATTCAATACAACAAATTGCAGCTAACATATGACCAAACTCCTAGCTCTATAATAACAAATATCAAAGACAAGGCTACCTATCAAATATTAAGGGGATCAAAGGCATGTCTACGTGATCATATACAAGCTATCAAGACCGTCAGTTATTATAAGTGGAGTAGCCCACCAGTCTTATGAGTTATTCATTGACGCGGGAAATTAATCCAAACTCACAAATGGGTTATTCTCTCAAACACTAACCCAAAGAACTCCAACCTCTGATTCACTTCCACAATTCAATTTGAAGTCTCACGCGTTACATACCCACATAAAAAAATTCACTTAGCTCATCATCAATTAAATCCTATGTCACTCAAATTCTTATAGATCACACTCCACGACACTGAGACATGAACAATTGACAATTCAATAAGTACCAATTTACCAAAAACACACAATTTCTCACTCAAAGGCCAAGTGTAAAACATGGGTAGTCACACAATCCCATATCCATTATAAAAAAGAATAACATGATTAAACTAAATTACTCAGTAAGTCAGTAATAAGCAATTCAAGATAATCCCTAAAACAAGAAAAACAGAAATTGAAACTAAAATGGTATAAAATGTAAGAAAATAAAAAATAAATTAAAAAAAAGTGAGAAAAACATACATTGGTGCCAGGAGTAGAAGCACGAGTCTGGCGTTCAAACAATCTAGCAACAAGATTGTTACTTTTAAACATGAGAGCTGCGAGCAAGAAGAGATACGGCAACTCGAAGAACCAGTGAAAGACAAGATATGCAATTGCATACCTTAATTGAACAAGAAATGGAAGAAAAGAGAGGAAGCGACACAGTCAGTTGCTGGTTGTTCGCGTGGTCGGCGTTGGGTGTTGGGGAGGAGAGAGAAATGATGGGAGGGAGTTCGGTGGACAAGGTGTACGGATGAGAGAGATACAGCAGAGCTACGAAATTGGGGGCGAGGGATGCTGTTGGATTTAGTTTTTTTTTTTTTAATAAAAAAAACAGAGGTACGAGGTCCATTTTATTCAGCTAAATTTCATTTCATTTCCTAATTTCCTTCTCTCATTAACAATTCACTTTAGCTCTATTTATTTCATTTAAAGACTTGTTCTCTTTAACTTATTTCAAATACTGATTACTTATTTTTTAATAAATTCAGACCAGATCAGAAAGATTCAGATCAGAACAGATCAGAACTTTTTTATTATCATTTACTTATTGTTAAATATCGTTAATTGCGTGTTAAATTTTTTTTATTAAAATTACATATTTAAAAAGTTCATAATGAGACGAATCTAACAAGATCCATTTTGATAATATTTTTCTTTATAGATTAGTATTAAAATGCGGTCAAAGTTTAATCAAATTGTTAAATCAGATCAGACCAGACCAAATCAGAAAAATTCAGATCAGACCTTAAAAAATTCAAACCAGATCTACTTGTTTCAGGTGAAGAGAACAAGTCCTTAGTTCAGGATCAACCAGTTCAGTTCATTTCAGTTCAGTTCACCTCAGTTGTTTTTAGTAAATCGAAACAGGTCCTAAATGATGTACAAAATAACCTAAATGCAGAAATGAATTAATGATATTAATAGAATAAAAAGATTGAAATACCCCTTTTCCCAAAAAAAAAGACTCAATATATTGTTTCGTTATTTCACTTCCAGAAACCTTTTTTTTCCAATTTATTTTTTCAATTCATTTCCATTTCTACCTCTTGGATCCCTAATCTCTCAAAATTCTTCAATCGAAGCCGTAGAGACGAAGAAGTCATTCACCGTTCATATACCATCCGGTCTAAGGTTAAATGTTAATCCTCGGAAATCATATTCTAGGGTATGTCGACCCCCGAAAATCATATCCGGGGGTATTGTTGACCCTCAAAAATCATATCCGAGGGATACTTTTGACCCCCAGAAATCATAAATCCGATAGTTATTGTTGAACCACGGAAATTAAATCCAATAGGTATTGTTGACCCCCGGAAACACAAACCGACACCCTGACATTTCGTACAAGATGAGTTTGATTGTTCATCTATAAATTAGATTTTGCGGGACCAAAAAAAAAAATTACATCACATATTATTCATACCTTACAAAAATCGTTGTAGTGCATTTTATTATTGTTCATGTGAGGTTGACTACGTTAAAATATACTTGTAAATAAAACGGTAGAGATGATTACATTTTATATAGTTAGGAATGAAAATGTTTAAATTAAAACAAGGGCAAAACAGAATATAAGTTTTTTTTTTTTTTTTTTAGGAAAAATTATTCCTACATTTATTAACCCCTTTTAAATAATAAGGGAAAATCAAGTGAATTAGAGTGTCTTCTTTTGATTAAAGTACAAATACAGTCTATAACTATTGTATTTGTGCACTTTTATTCCCGCAATTTTTGTATGTGCACTTTTGCTGATAAAAAGTCAATTGCGTGAAAAAAAAGAAGAAAAAAAATGACAAACAATAAATTTAGGTCCTTAAATTATTACTGATTAGGCAAAATTACTAAATTATTTGGTCTGAAACACCACTTTAGATGGTTGAGGGACCAAAGGAGCACATACAAAAGTTGAGGAATAAAAAATGCACAAATACAATAGTTTAGGGGGTGTGTATTTGTGCTTTACTCGTTTTGACATTAAAAGAGGTTAGCTTTTGAAGAAACACGTGCGGCTTATCATTAAAAGAGGTTAGTTTCCGCCAAAGTTAAAAGACTTTGGGGGGAATAGACCTAAATAGATAAATTCATTATAACCTCTAAATCCCACTAGGTACATGGTGAGCCAAAGTATCAATCGCACTCTTAACATGAGACGCGGATTAAGCAACAAAAAACTGAGAGACAGAACAAATATCATCAATCATCATTGACACGGGATTAAAACCCCTGCATTCCTCTTAATTCCATGAACAATGTTGGACGCGTCCTATTCTAATTATATATTTGTGTACCCAAGCCGCCCACATTAGAGTAGCCATTGTCTTCAGCTCTCCACTCGAGACCTTCAACATTAGCCACACCAATCGATTCCCAAAACTCAAGGAGGGAGCTTGTGATACACGAGAGCTTATTTTTCTACTGCCGCCTTAAAGTAGTAGTCCTCTATTAAACTTAAACTTATTAAGTCTACTAATTGTAAGTAAAGATCGATGTTCTCTAGTGCTAGCTATGTATGTGTCTCTAAGTTTGACTTGGGAGCCTTTAATCTTCTGGGTTTGTAACATTTAATTATGTTTACACATGTAGTTTGTAACACAATCATCTTAGGGCATGTTTACTTCAGCTTAATTTCAGTTCAGTTCAGTTCAGCTCCAATCAGTTCAGTTCAGTTTAGCTCCTAATTTCCTTCTCTCATAAAATATTCATTTCAGCTCCATTCAGTTCAGTTCAGCTTCAATCCGTTCAATTCAGTTCAATTTAGTAAAGGTGAATAGAACCTTAATGGAATGTAATAATGCAAAATAATACGAAGCATATATGTATAATTAGGGGTGACCAAACCGGGTACCTGGTCAAAGTTTTAGGACCCGGACTTGGAATTGGTTGGAACCGGGTCTAAATCGGATCCGGACTTGAAATTAGTTCAACCGGGTACAAAATGAAATTTAAACTAGGGTGATCTACGAGTCACTTATTTCAAATACTTTTCAAAAACTAGGAGTTAGATGAGACTCATACTAGCTACGATCACGGAGTCGCGCCCATGGTTGTTGGATGTTTTATTTATGTTTCCGAAAGGAGGCATGGGGTTTTTCTTTTATTGATGTTCCAAGTGGAGCATGGGATGGAAAACCTTATCTATTGCTTAATCCAATTAATAAAATGGAATGATTTAACTATTATTAACTAGTGAAGTCTTAGTAAAACTGACAGTTGAGTCGTGTGTTGAGTCTATAATTCAATGTTGCGTGATGATTGGTTATTAGTAGCATGCTAGGGATTTCTTATTATATTTCGCAGCTTGTATGTACTCAGCTTTGCTGATTGCGTGCTTTATGTGTCTTTGTTTGGTCATGGCCTTCGCCTTTCAATGACCCAGTGACGATCCAATTTTTACACTTGTAATATTGGGGAGCAGATTAATCACAAGTTCTTACACATGCAACTTTCACATCTAGGTGGTGGGATTTTGAGTGGAGTGTTGGTTGCTTTCCACAATTTATCTTGCTACTTACTTTTGAATTTGTTTAAACTCGGTACTTTCACTAGTTTGGGTTTTGAATACATGCCTTAATGGTTCCAAGTTGTAAGACTTAATTTGGTTTAGTTTATTAGTTTTGAAACTTATTTATAATTGAATTAGTTTTTCCGCTGCTAATTTCTGATATAGGCTTAACGTTTGAACACGTGGCGCTAGCACGATAATAATTCTCTTGGATTTTGTTCAAGGTACACACATGTTTAAAGGGAGAATTATTGGGGTGTTACACTTCATCTAGTTTCTCTTATTTACAAATATGTGATAAGGGAGGTTTTCTTGGTGGTTGCTAATAATACCATAAGAACAGGGGAGATTAGAAAAAAAGGGGAAACGTGAGGAAGAAGAAGGAGTTTAGAGAGAGAATAAAGGAGAAGATTAGAGAAGAGAGAGATAGAGATAGGATTGTTAATTCATTTCTTAATTCCAATTACAACCTAAGGTGCATTAATAAGGCATGACCCGAACAGAAAGATTCTCTCTAATCCAGTTATCATAAAACTAAGCACAAAAGGACAAATGATGAAAATAACCACTTTGCTAATAAGCAAAATTACCCACTAAAACCAACTAAAATATCTTTTCTTCTTATTTCTCCTGTATCATACCCTTCCCCTTCAAAAAGACTTGTCGTCAAGTCTAGAGAAAATAATAGCATGAAAGCTCGCTTGGCAGACATAAGGTCGAACTTGTGGTCGATTCTCTAGGACACTTCAGCAACACTGACTGAGTTAGAAATCATACCCATAACCCTTTGAATTTTGGCCAAATCTTTTCCTGGCACCACCATTAGAGGCTGGTAGGTACTACCACACTTGAATCTAGTAGGACACCAGTTCACAAACTGTCTGGATCTCGTTGTTTTGAATGTGAAAACAGTGGCATTTACATCTTTGGGTACCACATCTCCTCCGCGCACCACACAACAAGCCATGTACCTTTCGTGGTGGGAATCACATTTGGCCATCTTAGCACTAGGCTCAAATGTACTGTCATTGATCTCAACTGATAGTTGCTCATGGAAGGCGTTATCATCAGACATAACAAGAGTATAAGAAGGAAGCATGAAATGAATACGAGGGTAAGGGACTAAGTTTTTCTGAAACTCAGTGATAGCCACATTCAATGCATCATCAACCCGAAGTGAATGTGTCAAGGATAGTGCTACCAGGAAACTAGTCACAATTGGGAGCATGAGTGAGGCAAGAGATAAGGTAAAGTTAGTTTGCGTATAGCTCACAACTGCGGCAGAACAAGCGAGCGCCTGTGATGTAGGGAAGCATCCCAACAATGAGGCCAACAAGAACGCTTCAAACAAAGACTGTAATCCACCTAGCAACACCATTTTCTCCGCAGAAACAAAAGCATCAACAACACTTAACACAAAATTATCAACCAGACACTGCTGCCAAAATCTCTTCCTAGTGTGCTTAGCAACAAGCCACGACTCGAAGGCCAAAAACAGAAAGGAAATGGCAATGAAACACTGCCAACTGTCTCCCTGACGAAGACCATAGATAGTGTATAGAAAATACACATATGAACTTTGTGGCCAATTCCCAGCCATCATAAGAGAATACACAAGCAGGTAATTGTTACCAAAAGTGTTGACAGCAAGAGAAGCATAGAGGCCATCTAGTTTCTGTAATAATTGTAACCATATTCCCTTACCGACTCGAAAAACTCGTTCAGACCTGTGTCTAATAGCCTCACTTCGAGGTTGAGCAATTACCAACCGAGACTTGAGAGTAGCAACCAATAACTCTTTCCAAACATGCCTCTATTGAAATCTGCAACAAGACTCCTCCCTACAGACTTAGAGAAGCCTACTAGCAGAATTGTGGCCAAGGGAAATTTGGTTGGGTGTATAGTAGGTGTAGGGAGCAGGGGTGCCTTGGTGAAAGACATCAAGAGTGTGGGCTGTGTAATTAGTTTAGGGGTAGTCGAAGAAGAATGATCTATATCAGGTTCAAAGGCCTCATTCAAAGGGTGTAGAAAATGCTTGTGTGGTTTTGCAAATTCAATTGAAGCTGCACTAGTAGGTAGCATAACATCCTTCACAAATAGCGACACAACTGATTTCATTCCTTCCATAAAATTCCCCAAAAGATGAACATTGTTATCTAACATAAAAGTCTGCAAATTCCCAGAATTATCATCATAATCACTCACAACCGAATCAAGGTGATTCACTCTATCAATTTTCTCAACTACAATCAGATTAGAAGTATCATCAAAATCAGAATCAAGGTGTGTGAACTTATCAACATTCTCAAATTCATCAATGTAGGACTCAATATTACTAGTATGTTGAAGTTTATTAAAATCCTCAACCACATTAAATTCTTGAAACCTGTCATACAAATCTATAATAAAATCGTTCCAATCCACAACAGCACGAATAGACAAATAACTAGAAACCCAATATGCAACTTTATCCATCATACTAAGGGAAGCCACAGTAACCTTCTGATCATCTGGAATCTTATAGAGAGTAAAATATTCGCAACATTTCTTAATCCACAATCTAGGATTAGAACCATCAAATTTAGGGATTTGGAGTTCGAGTTTCATACCTAAGGTCACGTTAGGAGTTGATTCGACATCATAAATCGAAGATGGGGGAGCCAAATTAGGTGAAGAATCCGAACAATTGCGCATATCAGCTAGGATAGAACGCATCAAATTCATCAATTCATCACACCTTTGATTGAACCTCGTTTTCTGATCATCCACCTTTTTCATTAGATTTTGACAACGTTCGTCTACCCAGAGAATCCCACAATGCTCCGCCATGGAAGGCGACGAAAGACAAACGAGGAGGGCAACGGTTGGCTCTGATACCACTGATAAGGGAGGTTTTCTTGGTGGTTGCTGATAATACCAGAAGAACATGGGAGAATAGAAGAAAAGGGGAAACGTGAGGAAGAAGGAGTTTAGAGCGAGAGAGAATAGAGGAGAAGATTAGAGAAGAGAGAGATAGAGATAGGATTGTTAATTCATTTCTTAATTCCAATTACAACCTAAGGTGCATTAATAAGGCATGACCCTAACAGAAAGATTCTCTCTAATCCAGTTATCATAAAACTAAGCACAAAAGGACAAATGATGAAAATAACCAGTTTTCTAATAAGCAGAATTACCCACTAAAATCAACTAAAATATCTTTTCTTCTTATTTCACCTGTATCAATATGTCATTTTGAGAAACATATCAAGTTTCTCTTGAGAAACTAGGCTCCTCAAGATAAATGTGCTTAAGGAATTGCTTATACTTGTATACTATTATGGTATAGCTCTTTTACCATCTTATTCTTTCAACCCCTCAACAATTATATCTTGGAAATTTTGTGTAGAAAAACCCTAAAGATAACATTTTCCGTCCAATTAAGACGTTATTGGAGCTTATTTTTTTCACTTTTGCTACCCAACTAACTCTCCCAATTTGTATAAAGGTTTTAATATACTTTAATTAACCTAATTAGGGTTTTAATCATAATTCATTTTAGGGTAAATAGGTGTAATATTATTTGGGGATTTTAATTTCTAAGGTTTTTGGGTTTAATTGAATTGGGGTTTTTGCTTATTTTAGCATTAATTGGCCATTGTAATTGAAAAAAGTGAAAAATTGGGCCAAAATAACGTTTTAATTGGACAAAAAACGTTAGTGGCTAGTGCTACTCAAACTTTTCCAAACTTGCGGGTAGTTCTAAACAAATAAAAAAAATGGGTAGTTGTTCACAAATGACCCTATCTTTAGGGTGTTTCTACACAAAATTTCCTCACATCTTTCTATACTATGTGGTTTACTTTTTTTTTTTTTTTACTTCTTCTTACAAAAATCCACCTTCTTAGGTTCCCTCTATTACTTTATATTAACTCCAATTACATTTTTATCAACAATTTCTTAAATTGCATATTTGTAGTAATCGGTAAACACTTACAAAAATCCACCTTTTTAGGTTCTCTCTATTACTTATTTTAAGCCAATTACATTTTTACCAACAATTTCTTAAATTGCATATTTATAGTAATCGATGAGCATCCAGATCCGACCCGAATTGTACACTTGAGTTATGGTGAGTGAGTTTCCCAACAAAACATTTCTACATGCGTTGAACCTCGAACTTGAAAAGTTCTTTAAGTGATATCAAATTGCTTACTTGATGACTTGAGGCAATCATTAATTCATTACACAAAGTCCTAAATTACCAACATTTGAAGTATTGTTGTATACCGTCACATCTTAAGCCATACCAAACACAATGCCCAGCAAACTGCTTGTTTTGGGTTTAGGATTTGGGGGCATCAAGCCTTTCGGCAATTTTGGGTTGGGCACTTGGGGACTGGCAAAGGCAATTTTGGGTTGGGCTCTTGGGGACTGGCATTAGGCCTTTCGGCAATTTTGGGTTGGGTTTTGTGTCGTTAAAATTTTTTTGTCTTTCACTTCTTTGGTTACTCCATTTTACTGTATCCGATGTCTTTACTTATCTTTCATTTTTGGCCGTTTTAAATAATCTCCTACTTCCTCCGTTCTTTATTACTTGACCCGTTTTGACTTTTACACTATTCACCATCCCTCCTTTGACCGTCTTTTGTGAATAATATGTAAGGAAAAATATATTCATGTATGATCTTTTGGGATTCGTCTCAATAAGTACTATCATAATATATAACTTTTATAATTTTTACTTATGGAGAATTTAAGTTATTGATCGTTAAAGTTTTGCATTGGCAAGCGTGATAAAAGAAACAGGTCAAGTAAAAAAGAACAGAGGAAGTATATTTTCCCTTTGTGTTGCAACTATTTGACTTTTGTATTGTTTATATATTTTAGTTGTTCTAAGGGCCTGTTTTGATTTAATAAACTGAGCTGAACTGAATTGAACTTATTGGAGTTGAACTGAATTAAATATTTTATAAGAGAAGGAAATTGGAAACTGAAGTGAACTGAAATTAAGCTGAAGTGAACATACTCTAATTCTCTTGTTTTTTTTGAGAAGTATACTCTAATTCTCTTTAGTGACTTATATTTTAACGATTTTATTTTTTTGTTGTAGAGCCTTATTAAATTTGTATCAATTTAAACTTTCATAATAACATCACTGTTTTTATAATTCTAACATATTTATAGCTATATAAGTGATTGAAATAACATATTAGCAAGTGAAACATGAAGTATGTAGAATGTTATTGTGACTATTAAATACGAGTACAGTGAATGTATTATATTTTGTCCTACTAATTTATTTTTTCTTATCAACTCCATTCAATCATAACTTAATACGGACTAACAAAGTAAAAAATGACTTGAGGGCATACAGTTAAGGGTGCTAATAATAGTTATATCAATTAAGGGTGTTGGATGTGTTTTTTTTTTTCTTCCTATTTCAACCTAATGTCTCATCTTGTATTGGGTGGATACAAGTGATTCAAGTCAAAAAGTACTTTAAACAACCAAACTTTAAGATCAATTTGATGGGTTTTTTTTAACTTTAGTTACAAGTCTCTTGTTATTTCATCCTAAATTGTCTGCTCATAAGTTTGGGAGTCTTTTCACCTTAACTAGCTTTTTGGCCCGTTCAATGCACGGGTTGTTACTTGGATTAATACTGTGAAAAAAGATGAAGGAATTTATTTAGATATATATACATGAAGATAGTGAAATATGAAAAGATATATTAGTTTAAATTATATTTAAAGTTTAGGAGATGAAAAGATTATTTTTTTATTATAATTCATATGTTTATGTAATGAGTACTAATTAATTGAACTTTATTTTATCATGGTGGAAATGGAACACTTCATTTTCTTACTTGAATATAAATATTAAGGAGGTGACATGTGTCATATGGGGTATTGAGTGACTTGTGATGCCATGTGTCATATAAAAAAATTGTGGTTTGTGTTTTTAAATACTAAGTATAGATATAGAAGTATATACATAGATTAACAAAATAAATCATCAATTACAAAGTATTAAATAGTGATTGCGTATAATTCGAGGAATTGGAGCCAATTTTAGATTTAAAACAACTTCAATTTTAAAGAATGGAGTATATTTTTAAGTGCCAAATGCTCACCTGGTTAAGTTGAATTCTTTCATCACTACAACAATAATGTACATTTTTATACTTTTACGCACCCAAATATTATATTTATCACGAGTTCACGACATTCAAAACGAACCTAGTTACGTGCCAACACTATTAAAGGAAGGAGAGCTAAACTTGAGACAAGCATTATTTATTTAGTAACACCCTAATAAACAATAACTTTCTCGTTATAAGTAAGTCTAGTACAGAATTACAGTCCTTGATTAGTTGTTTTATTCTTTTTGAATATGGGAACTGAGGAATAGACCTATGACTAAATGAATTAAAATGATAATTAAGTACAAAAATTGATAAAATAAAAAAAGAGTACAAGTAATAGAAGTCAAGAGATGGGGAAATAATTAATAATGAAATAATAGTGGGGATTTATCGAAGGGAATTTTGCGGAAATCAAAGCAAAAAAATTCAAAGGCGCAAAATTCAAGGAAGAGTAGCAGCCTAGCAGGTGCAGGTGAAGGGTGAATCACATGCGTAAGCACTGGCTTTTCAACGGTGA